TTTTAATTTAGCGGGAAAGACATGACTCAAGAAAGAGAAACAAACCCTTAAAGATTAAAGACTATAAAAAAAAAAAAACCGAAGAAATAATATAATACCCGAAATTAATTTGTAAAATTCAAAATTTATGTATAAAATTTAATTTTTAATTTTATAAATTATTATTTAATATAAAATTAGGAAAAAAATAGGTGGATGATGAAATTGAAAATAATTTTGAGAGAACTGAGTGAAAATTAGGGTTATGGAGGTATTTTTAAAAGAAAAATTAGAAATTAGGAGTCAAAACGTATTTAAAAAAAATGTGACACGTAGAACACTCAGTCAGTTGTCCCGACGAATCGGAGCGCGCCGCATGGCAAAGCACATTTACACAGTACCACGAGGGAGGCCACACTGGCGATCCGCGTGCCTGCAATCGGACAATCCAGATTTATTCCTACGCGCGTGAACGGTCCGGATCCGTTCCCTCCTCAAACGCGATCGGATGATCGCGATTAAATGCGATGAACGTCCCAAATTCACTTCCTATTTAAACGCAATCGGACGGTCCAGATCAAATCGCGATGAACGGTCCAGATTCACTTCTTATTTAAACGCGATCCAACGGTCCAGATCAAACGTGATGGACACTTCAAATTAAAATGAGACGGATATAAATACCCCTATTCACACTAAACCCTAACCTTAGCCGCCAGACCCTTCCCCCTCCCCCCCCACCCGCGGCCGGAGAAGAAGAGCTAGTCCCAGAAAGGGAGACGATCGCCGCCTATCGCCGCACCGGAGCCACTTCCAACCACTAAAAGAGGTAAAAACAATTTCATTCGTTCGAAATTATATTTTGAACACCCCCGGACCGACGGATGAGGCAGAAATCGCTGGTAAAGCCCGACAGCGTTGCCACAGAAAAAAATAAAAATCATTTTTGATGAGACCCTTTCCAATTCTCATTGTGTTTAATTTTTTCATCATTGTAATTATCATTTCTTTTTCTACAAGTTGACCGAAGCAAAACACCCAACCGCAAAAGTGAGCTGGCGGAGCTGCCGTACCAGAAAACTCCGCCACCAGTAAGCTTCAGTTTTTCGACTTTTTTCGGCCAACCAATGCCCTTTAACGTATTTTCTCGCAAGGATGGGTATAAAACCGGCCGAAATCAGCCGAAACTATCTGAAATTGGCCAAAACTGACCAAAAACGGCCAACCGAGGCAAACCGTCGCTGGAGCACGGCGGAGCTGCCATGCTAGAATTCTGAAATTGGCCAACAGAGATTTCTAACACTGGTTTTGGGTTTTTTTTTTTTTATATTTTTAGGTACTTGAAGTGTGTTTTAATCCCCAAAGGAAAATTCAAGAAACTTGAGGACCGCCAATAGATGTAGCTAAAAGTTTAGTACTTCGGACATTAATTTGAGTAAGAATCCTTCACTTTATTTCTGGTTATGGAATTGAAGCTTATTATAAATAATATGGTAGTTTGCGTAATTTAGAAATATCGATAATTAAAGGTTACTAATTGAGCCGGAACTGGTTATTTATTGTTGTTTGCCATGTTTCACTGATTGATTGATTTTACACTTTGAATGCATAATAATACACTGGAATTGGAATGATAATTCGATTGTGTTTCCTTGATATATATATTGCTTGTTTTACGTGATTT